TCAATGCAGATCTCCTCCGCTCCATCTTTCATTTTATAACAAGTGACTATTTTTTACGCTCAAGCCTGCATTCAAACACTCTATGACAGCAAAGATCAAACAAGTGCAGCGTATGTGACTGCACCGCATTAATAAACACATACCAAGTATCAATCTGGATGTGAGATGCACAGTGATCAGATGGAGTAAATAATCGTTATTTATTGGCCTCGCTCCTCCCAGTCCTCTACGGTCTATGAGGGCCAATTGGGCTTGACAGATCATCAGATGAAGATGAAAAGTGCTCCTGTTTTATTTAGCAGCTTTCACATGAACATCCAGTGCATCCAGTACATCTTTGATAATGTTATGTACTGCAGTAGAATTTTTAAAAGCCACTGCTTTCCGCATAATGGAAGCGAGGCCTTCTCAGGTCGCAAGTCTACGGGGATGAGTGGAAAGCCGCGGTGGGTTTGAAAGGAAAGTAAATATACGCAGAGTGCTGGCTGCATATTGCGAAAGGCTAAATTACATAATTAGTCTCGATCTTTTGCCCAAATTCGCCCACCACGAATTAGCTGCGTTAGTGTAAACACTGAGCTTTGGACAGGCATGACAGGGTTTTGTTTTTGATTAATAGCATTTGATAACGAGTCTCACTGTTAGACATGATTATTACATCAATGGCGCAATTAGCATTTGTGTTAGAGTTCTGCTATGAACGCAGGAGCCTCTTTGACAGGTTTCAGTAGATGTGAAAATATTATCGCTTCAATACTTTTGAATGTTAAACGTTTCAGTTTAATAACTGCCAAATGCATTCATTTACTTCTACTCTCACATTTATGTTCATTCTCTTACTTTCTCTATTCCTCTCATTCTTTATTCTGTTTCTCTTGCTCTCGTTCCCTGTTCCCTTTGGCTAATAGTGACCAGGATGAATAAGTGACACTAGAATAATAGTCAGGAGAGAGAAGAGTAATTATGAGGTCATGGGGGTTTTATGCAGAACATGAAAAGCCCCTTGTAGAAATCAGGTCCAAAGGGCGGCAGGGGATGAGAGGTGAAGAGAGGCTGGGAGATGAAAATACTGACGTCAGAAAGACAATTACACAGAACCAGTGTTGGGAAAGCTGCTCTTATCTGTTCAAGCAAATAAACTTCAGGTGAAACTACTATTTTTGTGCAATTAACATACGAATTCATACAAAATTGCCACCTCGTAACATTGTTACCTTTTCCTTAGTGAGATTAGGTTGGTGGCCTACTAATGTTATAGAAATAAAATGAACCTGCAAAATAACAACATCTGTTTTCTATATATAATATGTAATGAGGGTTTTTACAAATATATATAATTTTATTTTGCGACTGCGCTTGGCTCTTGAGACTTATTTTAAAGTCAGGTTTGTATTATTTACTGCTGAGGTAGCCTAAACCCTAGGTCTTCAACCCTGCTCCTGTGGACCCTGGCTGCATCCGAAATCGCATACTTCCCTACTATATAGTAGGTGAGAAACTGTAACTTATGTGATAAGATTAGTATGTTCGAATTCACAGTACTCATAAAAGAGTAGGCTACGGTCACAAAATAAGTACTTATTCAAAATAGGCTTACCCACTCAAAAGAGTAGGCCTATGCAATATTTTACCCAGCAAGCCTGTGATTTTTCAAACCTTCCTGAAGATCTTGATTAGCTGCTTCAGGTGTGTTTGATTAGGGTTGAAGCTCAAATCTGCAGTGGGTCCCCAGGAGCAGGATTGAAGACCAATGGCCTAAACAACACCACTAGTTGGGTTTCCATCCAAACGTGAAGCGAATCTTTTCAATGTTCGCAAAAAAACGCTAGTTGAGTTTCCATCAAGTTGTTAGAGCGGATAACGGGGGGTATTGGTTACCTACACAGCAAAAATCCCCAGAGTTAAATTAACTCTACTCAGATAACATTTGGTCCCTCTCTACAGAGAGTTAAAATAACTCTGAATCAGAGTTAAAGTTAATGAGATACTTAAGTGATTAATTAAGTGATTATTGTGCATTAATGATGAACACCTGCTGTCAACAAGCAGAATCACTGAAGGAAAGATAAACAACAAGAACAGAAAAGAGAAACACAAGAACTAATACTGACTTCCAGCCACAGCCTTAGATGAAATCAAATGAAGACAAAAGACATTACATCTCTCAAGATCTTAGCAGAGGGGGATTAAACAACTTCACAAACAGCATTACCAGCTTCACTTATTACTAACCAGATTGACTTTATTTGTGTTATACGTCTACAGAAGGTCTTATTGAGAATTAACAGAGGTTTAGATGTTTGATCACCATTATGGTGATCAGTGTTTCCTTTAGTTGGACAGTTTGACCCTTGGCTTTTTTTGCGAGTTTGTGGTTTTGTAACAGTTTTTAACAAAACACGTAATTTGTTACAAAGAAAGACAGAAACAAAGATGATCAGGTGATATAGTTTGTGTTTTCAGGCACCCAAAACTCCGTTGTCATGTAAATGAACGGCCACAAAAAACATAAAAAGTATTCCACTTTTAGTTGAAACTTGAAACCGGTGTCGTAAACAGCCCCTTAGAGGTTGTTTAAAAACCCATTCATGTAATTAAAAATAATAATTTGATAGAGGTACAGAACAAAGGTCCACCCTATTCCACAAGGATCCAAGATCCACCTACTTGAATTTATGTTATCGACGTGGGCGATATCTCTTTAAACATATAATAATTGACATAATATTCAGATGCAATCAGAGCAGTATTTATTGGCACAAAAGTAATAAGGGTGCCAATTAGACTGATGGCATTAAACAGCATGTGAACAAATAAATGTAACCAATAAAACTGAAAACGAGGCCACGTGAATTGTACTTGTCGAACCAACGTCCCTTTAAGGCAAGTCAGAACATTATTGTCTTCTCAAGGACTTACATATTTCCAGGATTAAAAGAGGGGGCGTGGGTGGGTTAACGCCATCTGCTAGTGCAGGCCTATTGCAATATGAGTCGCAGATGTAAGATTACACCATGAAAAGGTAGGGAGAAAGGGAGAGGTCAGATAACATGCCACACAAGCACATAAATACTACTGTGTATGTATACCAATTAATCTCAAATTTTCATGTTGCAATCATAATTTCTTACAAATGTTTCTCTCGTAAAATAATGTCTGTTTCAGAATCTAACCTCGCTGAGTAATTGCTTGCAAATAGCTGATATCAATCTGACATTTGAAGTAATTAATGTGACAGAGGTGTAGCCTAAGAGAAGACTATTTTTGAATGAGGTCATTAATCTAAAATCACATCCGCAGATATATCTTAACCTGAAAATTAACTGTAAAAAAAAAAACATGTAGAGCTGTCACACACAGGTAGTAGTGTCAGACACACCTGGCCTGCAGGGTCACAGCAGGAGACAGATAGAGGGCGGAGAGGGTGAAATTAAACCCCATAAAGGTTTTAAACGCAAGAACGAAACACCATTGCAGGATGCGAGTAGTGGAGAGACAGAGACCATACTCGGGTATGGATTAAAGGAAGGGATGCATTTGTGATCAACAGTTGTCGAATAGAGAGGTATATAAAAAGGAGGGTGAAAGGAAAGAAAGTCTTACAGTAGAAATGCCACACTCCAAAAGAGATTTAGATCAGCTGTGCATTACACTGGACAAACCCTGGGCCTTCCTCAGCCATTGAAGACTGATCCTGAGAGACAAACAGAAACTTGGACTTACAGTCTGCAGTGACTAGTCTAGGTCAAACGATTTTGAGAAGGACATATACTTGGCAATCCGTCAGGATAATGCAGCAGATTCTTCAGGATATGTATATAGAGCCCGACCTGTTGGCTGAACTCAACGAAGAGCAGAAGCAGATCCTCTTCTATAAGATTCGGGAGGAGCAGGTGCTGCGCTGGAACGAGAGGGAGGGAAGAGACACCAGCCAAGCTCTAAACAAGAAGAGTGAGTCCAGGGTTCATTTTGTACCTTTATTTGATCATGTCTACATGTTTTTTAATAAACAGTAGTTTTAAGTATTTTGACATTCAAGCCACATCTAAAAATGTATCTGTCTTTGCATCTAATGATTACATAAATTATCAAACAAAGTGGCATTAATTAGGCAAAGATAACAAGTATACTTTTCAAACCAAATATTAGAAAAGAAAATTAGTTCTGAAAAAAGCTTGAACTATTTGGTATTTTGATCATTGTAATGCAAAATTCGGAAAATAATTCCATTTAAAATATCATTCAATGCTAGATTCAGACATGACCACATAAAAAATTTCCCCCGCAATGTTTTGTCAGTTACTTTAATTGCTTTCACATAGGGTTAATATTTATGCTCGCCAAGGCTACATTTATTCTATAAAAAATACAGTAATATTGTGAAATATATTTTTTTTCTATTTTATTATACAGTATTTATATAGCTATTGCATATAGTGAAATAGAAATAGAAAACTATTTCTTTGTAGATTGTTAAAATGTGTACGTTTTTGCTCTATTACCATCACCAAATGAAATTGCAAAAATAATGATTGTTTTAAAACAAAGGTTTTAACACTTATCCATCTTCCCCTGTTCTGACACACAGACAGTCCTGCCTCAAACTCCGCAAGAACTATTCTAATATTGCTGTTGGTTGGGATGCTGACAGACAGCACTGTGTTGAAAGCACAACAGGGCCATATAGTGTAAACACCTTTTGGTAAAATCAGTCTACAAATGGCTTACTTATATCTCTACACATTAAAGGGGATAGGAGAAAGTACTTTAGAAAGTATATCTTAAAAAAAATCAACTTTAAGGAAGTGGTGCAAATGAGCTGGATTAGGTTTACATCATGTAGCAAGTGCATTGCATCAAAGGACATCAAAGATTGTGTCTGTGACTTTTTTCAAAAGTTCCTCCATTATCTTGTTCAGTTGTCATGTTCCCGCAGCATACAAAGGATCCCAGTAGGATAATCTCTTGCAGCTTTGTCGCGCCATCCATGTTATTTTTTCTTTATCTCATCTGAATTCGGTCTGATGGGTCTGGAAAGTGTGTTTCCTCAAGCTATCATTTCACTGTTTGCCGTGTGGTGTCTTTTCCCAGGCGACCGCAGAGGCATTCAGTGGCTTCTGGGATCAGATGGAGAGGTATGGGTATGGGTTATGGGGGAGGCCCGGGGGGACAAGCCCTTTGAAGACATTGTGGAACAGCTGATGGAGGAGAGAGCCAGGAAGCAGGCCCAGCGAGAGGCACAGGAACTCCGGTGAGAAAACCATGGGACAGGGTCAAGGGATGGGTGCAGTGGGACACTGAGGGTGGGTGAAGATTGACGGATGTGATTCAGCTAAAAAACTGAGAAGGGGGGTGATAATGATAGAAGTACAGGGGGATAAGAAAGTGCATCACTCAAGCTCTGCTGAATTTCCTGAGGCGTGTGAAGGAGGCAGAGATTGAAAAGAAGTTTCGAGATGCCATGGCGAAGGAGAAGGCTCGCTTCGTGGCAGAAAAATGGAAGGAGGAGACAGATGACAGAAAGGCAGCCAAGCAGGAAGAAGAGGAAGATCGCATTAGAGAGGAACTGAAGGTGGGTTTGGCTGGAATATGTTCCTTCGGATAGATATGACAAAACCACAGAATATTTTATGCAGCTTTTGAAAGGGAGACACAGTTCTAAACAAACCATTGAATAAAGCTTCATGCCTCGTGTCCTCTTAGATTTTAAAGACAAAAAAACAAACATACACTCACACCAGAGGCGTCTCCTCCGAGGAAACACGGGAGGCAGTGCCTCAAAACAACTAGATGAAAAAACAATCCACAATACAAAAATAAAACAACACAAACATTAGAAAATATGACAATGAATCATCTAAGCTAAGGTAACACTGTCCCCAGTGTTGGGAAAGTTCACTATCTACATGAACTAGTTCAAAGTTCAGTTCACAAATTTTAAAATGATTCATATAAAATAGTTCATACTTCACAATTTTGAAATAAGTTCACAAGTTCCAAAGATGAACTAGTTCATAGTTCTTTTTTTCCATTATGTTGCTGCCAGCTTTTTTTGTTTTTCTTTTTTTTTTGTTCTATCGCCACAGCCCATATACAACCACAGACAGCAATTATTTTATCGGCGGACAAAGTTTGCACAGAAATGTAAGATTTTTCCCATCCTCACCGACCTTGTCATAAAACTCGTTTAAATGATCATGCGACGCCTCGATGCTTTGTCGACTACATGCTGCTTTTTGTTTTGATGACGCATGCGACGGTGCGTGCGACACTGCGTCTTGTGTTGCCAGATTTTATTTTATTTTTCGCTACTTATTAAGGCCTGTTTACGGTTGCTGCGTCCCAATGTGCATACTATCCATCCTAAATAGTATGTGACATTAGTAATTTTCAATACTATTTAGGGCATAGTATGCACATTGGGACGCAGCTGGTGTGTTTTAGCCGGGTTTTCGCCTGGAAGGCTCTATAGAAATCCTATTGAACGAAGTTAAACTGAGAGAGCGTGCGTTCACAGACACCAGAATGAACGAGTTCACGGTAACGTTCATCAGGCAGTAATACAGTAGGCTAAGTTCAGTTCACGTTCGCCCAAAATATGAACGCGTTCAGGCACAACACTGAATGTCCCACAGCGAAACCCACTTCTCTCTTGCCTATCCTGAATGAAAATAACAGCTAAACATCACAAATAAACTAAATTCGTTACTGCATTGCGTTCTTAGTTTGGAATAAATGTGAAAATGCTTAAAACACTAATTTAATGAGATTTATGGTTTTAATAAACAGAACATATAACATTGTCAATGTAAAAATACAAAATATCATTGAAATTTTTTTATAGTGTAAATAATGTTTATTTAACCAGGAAAATATCAACAGGGAGTATAAGGCTACCTTTACACGTGGCCGGCTATTTTCAAAAACGGACATTTCACCCTCTCCGTTTTAAAAATTAACATCGTGCACAATTGTCAGTTTTCAGAAAAGTGTTCATTACACGAGCATGTATGTTGTATACCATGTATATTATGCCATCACGAGCATTCCAAACCTGTAGGTGGCAGTGTAACAAGAAGCTCAAGCCCACGTTAGCCAATCGGAATCCCGAAAATAGCACCAACAGCTTCTTTTTTTTTTTTTTTTTTTTTGACGGTGTAGTTTTTTTTTTGTTTTGTTTTTTTTATCTTAACAATACAAACAGCAAGACACACAAATAAAGTCATTGATACAGAAAACACAATATTAGACAAGAACAGAGCCAGGGGAAGTTTCAAATAAATACATTAAAGATAGAGCATAACTGAATGGTTTTAGCAGCCTTCTTATTTTGTGAATCATAAATGGATTTGATGTACTGTTCCGCCTCCTTATCAAAAGCAATAAAGGAAGGTTTAGAATTACTAAATTTGGCTTTGTGAATATGATATTTCCCTAAAATGATCAATAGATTAATTAGGTATATTTCTTTCTGTTTTTTACCTTTGTCAACATGGAGACCAAACAGCACATCCCTCCATAACAAAGAAAAATCAGCGATAAGTTTAACAGTAATGTATCGGGACAGATCTTTCCAGAAACTGATGGTGTAGGGACATTGCCAGAACAGGTGTACCATTGTTTCTGGACATACTCCACATAGCACCAACAGCTCCTCGACATAATGGGCTATATGCACGCATAACTTCCGCGTTTGACGCAAGGATGCTCGTGCGTTTCCGGTTGGGGAGATTTAAAGCGGAGGAAAACCGAGGAAAACGGTATTATGGCAGAGTCTTCAAAATTTACTGTCCTCTCGTCTTTGAAACGAAACTTTAATACGTTTAGATGTAATTTTATATATAGTTATGTTTATTTAATATAATAAACACAGAAGCATAAACAAAATGAGGAGTGTCTGTTTTGTCTGTTTTTGTGACTAACGTTTCTTTAGTATAGCAATAGAGTATAAAAACCAATATAAATTCTCGGTATAGCATTGGACTCTACGATCGGCGGAAGTAATCCAGCATCCTTAGACCTTCACCGGAAATATCACCGTGCATAGAGCCCATAGAGCAGCTGTATTTGCAAATGCAAACAGATGAAAAGGATTTGCACCAACATAAATGAGCAAACAAAGTTTTCCAAAATCTCCACTCTGGCCAGAGTTTTTAGAATGAATCGTTTTCAGTGGCGAATTCTCCGTTTGCCTGTAAACGGAGGGCAAACGAAGGGAAATGTCTCCGTTTTTCAAAATAACCATGTACATGTAAACGGGGCCTAAGGCATGAATTTACATTTAAACATTTTTTTTTTCATTTTTGCACCCGCATTTAAGAACACCGCACGCCACTGACTCACACATACAAACTTTATAATACATATAACCCCTCCCAAAATAGCATAACAATCTTGATCTCGACGGCTCAGTTGTGACAAAAGATCCAATAGTTAAGGGTCCTTGCATTTATTCTTCAACCAGGCCTTTAATTATGATCTTACAATAGAGACTGAGGTTAATTAGGCTTAATTGCTGTGTGTTCCATGTTCTGAGAATGAATTATTTAAAAGTTGGCAACCTCTCAGAATGTAGATAGTGATCTCTGAGACACAAGGCCAACATTTGTTCTCCTGATCTATAATAGAGTTGAAAGCACTGATGTTTGGGTTAATGACATTGTCCACCGAATTAATCATTTATATTCCCAGCTTAATGGCACCGAAAATGAAAAAACTAAAAGCAAACTGCGGCGAAACTTCTGTGCCTTTGTGTTAGCAAGGGCTGATTCTTTCTCCTTTTCTCACAGAAATATGAGGAGGAAGAGAGACAGAGAGGCGAGGAAGAAATCCGCCAAACTGAGGAGAGAAGAGCAAAGGAGCTGTACATCTCTCTGAAGCAGGAGGAAAAGAGGAGTGAGAGAGATGACAAAGAATGGCAGGAACAATGTGAGAGAACAAACGGAATGGGAAAGAAAAAGGGAACTTTGGCTGCTCTAATATAAAGTAGCTTATTTCTATTCAAATTTCTCTCCACTTCCCACAGTGCAACGCTCTAAGGCGGCGGATGAGGAGATGAAGTGCAAGGCACGACGGGCTAGAGATGATTACAAGCGCCAGTCTTTGCGGGCTATCGAGAAGGGCCTGGTGGCTGGACTCAGCGGCCTGTTCCATAAGACGCACCCGAACGGATCGGGTCACCACCGACGGCATGGCACGGTCATTGAACATCAGACCCCTCCAGCTGAGGCCGGCCATTCACCCGCAACAAGTGCTGGCCAACTCACTTCAGGCCATTACAGGCGCAGACAACACCGTCGTTACAGCAATCCAGTCACACAGTCACTCACTGAATGGTAAAATCAATAATCAAATCAATGATAATTGATCCCAACCATACCTTATGCATTTGTGTTGAGTGTGATATTGTTTTTATTGTTTATAGACAAAACACACCACTCTCGTACTCTGTTTTCACTTAATTGTGCCATACAGACTATGAAACATTTGAAGGCTAACCACACACCACAAAACTGTTTTCCAATGCCTTTCAGCCCAGTTTGGATTCGTCCACCTAGGCCAAACTCTCGAGAATCCATCATTCGCTGGTTTAAAGAGGAGCAGAGACCGAGACGAGCGGGTTATGAGCGAAGCAGCAACACCATCGCCCCCTGGTTCCACGGTAAAGACAGCTAAAACGCTCTTAAGGACCTTTCACATCTCACGTCAGGGCTTCAGCACAAGAATCATCCAACACTTTGACCTCCACACAACATGTAAAGGAAGGGCGATTTCACAAGATAGTAAACTAAAATTCGTTCTCCCTCGTTTTAGTAAACGTTGAACTAATTAGTTCCCTCATTTTGATTGAACTTAAACAAAGGGAACGAATTATTACAACGTGGCTGTGATTTAGTAAAAGGAGGGAAGAAATTATAATAGAGTATATGCACAATTTACTTAAATCGAGGGGACGAATTAGTAAAACGTGCTGGCATATTAGTAATTTGTGACCATGATAAACATTTTTCCCTTGGAATTTTTTTTTCTTGAGTAGAAAATCTGCATATTACAATGATTTCTGAATGATCGTGTGACACTGGTTTGCCATCACAGGAATAAATTACATTTAAAGACATATAATATATAAAAAATATAAACAGTTACGTTCAATTGTAATATTTCACAATATTAGCCTACTGTATTTTTTTTATCAAATAAATGGAGCCTTGGTGAGCATAAGAGACCTCTTTCAAAAATATTAAAAAACCTTACCGACCCCAAACTTTTGACCAGTAATGGATAGATAGATGAAAAAGCACAAGACACAAAATCATGTAGGCCTATAAGAAATCACAAGCGAACGTGCAAAGCTAGCAAAAGCTTGCGAAAATAGATACATTGTGAGAACTGTCTGTTGACCATTGACTGCACTTCAAAAGTTCAGTGGCAAATGGGGTCATTTGAAGTTAGAGTTGAAATTGTTTGAACTTTAAGGCACATTACATCGCTTGACCGGCGCTAGGGTAACGCTGACGCTGCACTCCACAGTGTTCAAATGCATTGGGGCAACGTTGACAGGAGTCTTTTAGAAATGGACTCACAGTTTAGTCACAGTTTAGTGGGAACGAGCAGTAGTTCAGTGATTGCACTGAAGTAAACATCGATTAAATCGAGAAAATAATAATGAAAGAGACAGAGAGAGGAGGAAAGAGGCAGACAGAAAGACTCAATAATACAAAGCTTGTGTCAGGATGAGTGGAGCCACAGTGTGGCCTCTGATTGGACAATGATAAGATTAACGACCATCTGAGTGACGCTATTCGACCAGGATACACGAGAACGCTGCCAGCGTCACTCCAAGATCAGAGCACAACACCTGCACTTCCAGCTGCACTCTCACTCAATATCTATCCATATCTGCCTCTACCTGTCTGTCACTCTGCCTCGTCCTGTCTCTGGCTCTCCATCTGTCTTTCTCACTGTCACCCATCTCCAACCCCTGCAGGAATAATATCACGGCAGGAGTCAGAGGATTTGCTGACCAATGCCGCAGAAGGCTGTTTCTTGGTCAGAGTGAGTGAGCGGATCTGGGGATACACGCTGTCCTGCCGCACTACCTTTGGCTTTAAGCACTTCCTCATTGACGCCTCGGGTGATTATTACAGCTTCCTAGGCGTTGACCAGGACCGTCACGCCACCTTAGCTGACCTCATTGACTTCCATAAGGTAAGCCCTCTTTCCTGGAGTAGATAAAGTCTTGGAAGGTGATTTAAGAGATTGCTAGCTAGCAAGAAATCAAACACGATATGTCTACTAAAGTAAAGGACTCATAATATGTAGGTTCCCAAAATGTTACTGTTTGACATTCTCCTAAGTAAATTGTTGTTTTAAACGTGATGAGACATATTTTGTCAAACAAAGAAAAAAAACCCAACTAAAACACGATAACAACATTGGATAAAAATAATAAATAAATATATAAAATGTACACTGTATACGGTCATTTAGAACTTTGGGCTCAGTAAAAAAAATGTTTGAGTGAGAAATTATAATACTTTTATTCAGTAAAGGACTAGGGGTGTAACGAACCCTCATGTCACGATTCGACACAACGATACGATATTGTGATACTTCAAGACATAGGCTATGGTAAAATTTACGGTTGATTAAAATGGTACATTTGATATTACATTGTGGGTGTAAATGAATAGGCTTGGACTAAAGCACCAGACAATGGTGACACCTGGTTAAAAAATATATTCATGATTCTGAAGCTAAAAATACAGAATTATTTTTGACGAATATGTCACTGACTAGATATATTTAAAATAATGTAGGCCACTTTTTACTGGCAACATAAGACATTTGGCATTATCATGATCCACAAATACTCCCCCATTGCATTATTATACATTATATTCAACATTATAAATAGTAGTTTAATGTAGTACTAACACTAGAACTCTTTTTTTTTACTCTTGAACACAGTAATTCTCATTTTGGGGGATTTGACTTATTTCAAAACTTTCTATTTATCAAAGAAAATGACAGTTTCCACAAAAATATTAAGCAGCACAACTGTTTTCAGCATTGATAATAAAAAGAAATGTTTTGTGAGCATCAAATCAGCATATTAGAGTGATTTCTGAAGGATCATGTGACACTGAAGACTGGAGTATTGATGCTGTTTCTGAACTTTTTCTGTATACTGAATACTAGACTGAGTACAGTTGAGACACTTTTTGCGTTTAGATTTTTCACACAAAAATAGATACTGAAAATAAGTGAATTTCCACATGACATGCCACATGACATTTCATTAGCTTGTAGATATTTTCAATCAATAATACCCATAAGTAGTTTATATTTTCCACAATTAGCTCATAAAAATAAGGTGCTTTTTGTCTCAACTGTACCCATATGTGGTACAGTTGAGACAGTACCATGGTACAGTTGAGACACCCATTTTTAATGATGTAAAGGTAACTAACCGTTCATTGCAAATATAATAAAGACGAATAAAGAAAATAACAATTGGACAACATGTTTGTTTATTTATCCATTTAAATTCATTAATTTTATTTAAATTAGCACTGGTTAAAATTTATAAAACAGAAACAATGTATTTTCATTAATAATACAGTTTAAATATCACAAATATCAAATTTTATTTTCATTTGCGTCTTATGCTGGCTAATTACGACGTTTAACCTGTTATAACACTGAACAACTAAACAGTGTGTTTCCTAATAGAACTCTATCGGGGGTACAGTTGATACACGTGTGTCTCAACCATACCCCGCTGGCAACCTCGCACATTTCTCTAGATTTTGCAATGACCTTGCATGACACAATATCATAAAATATGCCAGTTTTTAGGGCACAGAATAACGTTTGTGATGATACCAGTTACGTTTAACAGTCACATTAGGATAATAAGCTATTCATTGTGGAGTGTATATGGTGAAATGAAAGTCTTATCTTAAAAATAAAAAACTTTTGCCCATATCTACGGATCGGAGATGCGTCCATTTTTCAAATTTCCCACGATCAAAGAGGACACTAATATGCATGTGCACAGCAAAAACATCACAACTTGTGCTTGCTGCACACTCAAGTTATTTAAGGTGTCTCAACTGTACACTAGTCTACCCTACAACTGTCGTAGCACAGCTGACAAACAAGCTCACAGGGCGATCGCAGAACCCATGAGGAACAAACGTGGCAAGCACACCTGTCCTTCCATCTGTGCGTTTGATGCAGAGAATTGATAGTGTTGCTAATGCTTAGCTGTCCCAGGACTGATGTTGATTTCGTTGGCTGATGGTCTGCTTTTCCTCCAGGAGGAAGCGATCACCACGTCTGGAGGAGAACTACTCCAGGACCCCTGCAGGCCGAAAAGCTCCACAGCTGACTACGGAGGGCTTTTTATGTGAAACTCAATTTGACTATACCATATTTTTTGCATGTAATATATATAACATACACTGCACAGCTTCTTTTTGTTGTCTGCCAAGCTTCTTCTGTCAAATGTAAATAAACACGTTTTACTTGCGTTCATTTGCTTATTCGGTTTCAATGTGGGTGATAGTAAAGGTGCAGTCACATCAGCCTTCAAGCATGCAAAATAATTTTTGCCCCCACAAATATGGGCAACAGGATATGATGTCACACTCTAGGTCATGGATGGGCAATCCTCTCCCATGGCCTCATGGGATGGTAAAGTGCCTATCATAAGCACACTTCAGAATCTCGCCAGAAGTAGTAGGTCATCCGGGTGCTTTTTGCCTACTCTTTTATGAGTACAGTGAATTCGGACATACTTCTTTTGTCACATACCCTACAGTTTTTTACCTATATAGTAGAAGCGATTTCAGATGCAGCCACTGTCTGGCAGTTTAGCTTCAACACTGACTCACCTGCCTGTAGCCTTCCAGTAATCCTAAAGACCTTGATCAGCTGGTTCCGGTGTGTTCGATTAAAGGAATAGTTCACCCAAAAATGACAATTCTGTCATCATTTACTCACCCATATGTTGTTCCAAACCTATATGAGTTTCTTTCTTCTGTTGAACTAAAGATATTTTGAAGAATGTTGGTAACCAGACAGTTGACAGTAGCCATTGACTTCCATATAAGGGAAAAAATATTGTGGAAGTCAATGGCTACCATCAACTGTTTGATTACAGGCATTCTTCAAAATATCTTCTTTTGTGTTCAGCAGAAGAAAGAAATTCATACAGGTTTGGAACAACATAAGGGTGAGTAAATTACAGAAAATTCAGAATGTATTATAAATGTATTATAACGTATGTATGTGTGAGTCAGTGGCATGCAGTGGTGCTCTTAAATGAGGAGGCAAAGTCCTCAGCTTTTTAAAGGTGCCCTAGAATGTTTTTTTTTTTTTTTTTTATAATGTTTCCTGGGTTACCCTTATAATGTTAGTATGTTTTTTAGATAAAAATAATCATAATTTAGAAATAAATGGCATTTTTCCTAGCCTGCTTTTAGCCTCTGATTTGAACACTCTGTTTGAAGGGGCATGTCTGCTGTGGGATTAAGTGTAACCGCGGCCACTGTGATTGGCTGACATGCTTGCATATGAAATAGCTACGCATTACATGTGAAACTCTCTCCCGAATACTTTTACTACTGCTATTATACGTTTTTACAATAACAGCTATCGAGATTAACGAATCGTGAGATGTTTTTAAAGTGTTTAGATCTATTCCCATCACATAAAATGTTGCCGTGATGAGCATTGAGCAGATGACAGTGTTGATCGCGAGAATGAAGATCTTATCATTGCAAAGCAGTTTCTGCACTCTCTCTGCTTTCACCAATGCAAACACGATGACGTAAATACAGTAAGAGCTTCGTTGTGCAGTAACGTGCGTCATTGATTTAATAACGAGTTTGGCAAGTGTCCAGATAAACTCGCGCTGTGTGGAAAGATTGTTCTTTGATCGCTTTCGGTATATAATTTGTTCACAATTTAAATACGATTATTTTCATCCTACTAAAAGAAACGATGTGAAGCTGTGATTTTAGTCACTGGCTTGACTTACTGATGCATAAACAGTATTGAACGATTTTGAGAGAAAGATTACCTGTCTGAACTTGAACAATTACACATCAGAAAGTGTTGCTTGGTAGCTCGATCCGAGGCCAGCTCTGTATTGGCCCAAGTTGAGGAAACAGTCGTCAGTGAAATTTCCAGAGAAAATAAAATTAACCCATTGTTTCTTCAGAGGCTCAGATGAAGGAACTAAAAAATACTTTTGTGTTCATGTGTACATCCACACTGAGCAACTGCCATGCTTCGGCTGCGCAGTTCCGCCTGGCATTGAGGGCTGGCAATGGCATTATGCAAATATTTGGAGGCGTACATATTAATGATCCCGACTATTGCGTCACAGTCGGTATTGTGTGGAGAACCGACCGTTTTTCAGGGGTGTTTTTCATAAACGTGAATTAAATGAGAACGCGAAAACAGTCCAGTTTGAGATTCACTCTATGTCATGTCCATGCACTGAACTCTTGTTATTTGACTATACCAAGGTAAATTCAATTTTGAATTATAGGTCACCTTTAATGTTTTTTTTAATGTAAATTCATGTCCCATATATACTCAATGTTGACACATTTTCTTGGTTAAATAGTGACCAGCCAATGATCAGCTTGGACCACCATATGACTAACTTCGATCAGTTAGTAACCAAGTTCAAACCCCAGATACAAGCTTAAATTGGTCAATGTGTTATGTAAAACCCATCCTAAGCTGGTTTACTGGTCCTAGCTAGTCTCCCAGCCTGTTCAGGCTGGTAGAGAGGTTTTGGGCATTTATTTAGATGGTCAGACTGGGAGACCATTTTAAACCTTCTTAAGCTTTAAAAAAAAAATTTAAATATAACAAAGGTCTTCTAATGGTTAAATATTGGTCACAAATATAAGTTAACCATATAGGTTAACTTATATTTGTGACCAATATTGGTCCACAACAAAAAATGAACAGTCTATCCATATGCAAAGTGTAGGGTGACCATCTCACCCCGTAATGTTTCAAGTGCTAGTCTTTCCACCAAATTTCCAGCCAACACAAGTGTGAAGTGTCCCTCGTTGATCTGGCATGTCCCTGAGCACCAACAGTTACTGACTACAGTCTGACTTCCCGCACAATCACACAGAGGCATAAAGGGGATCAGGTTTCTGAGAACTGCATGGCTGGCCTTGCTAATCTGCACATTGTTCAAGGGGAAGGAGCTATTTCAGCTAGCAGTACCGACAAAGACCTGACAAACACATTGAACAGTTGAGTAGAGGTGCTGGGTGACAAACTACGATGAAAGACATTGGAAATATATGGGTAAACTGAAACTGCCTTTCCCATGATTTTTTTTTCAAATCATGGGAATGGGGGGGGGAATGGAAAATGATATACTTATTGATATACCAGGGAGCAGATGACAGTCAGAAAATGGTAACAAACCAATTACACTGGACACAAAGGTCTCCTGTCAAGCACCAGCCAATGTAACATGATGCTGACATGCATTAAACTGACCCAATGATCTTTACAGCACTTGCTTTATCTAAAGAAAAACTTCTGCAATTACAACATTGTAGAGCTTGTGGCCAAAAAAAAAACTAAAAATATAAAAGGTGCATTGCAAAACTGGGATATTTCATGAGGGTTTGAAACAATATTTTGCTCACTAGCATAGATCTGTAGCTACCAAACCACACTGCAACTTGACATGCTAAAGAGAACACAAAAAATATGTTGCTACTACAGCCATATTGTTTTGGAGACAAAAGAAAAAAAAATTACACCTTTATTTTCTGCCATGATTTGAAAATCAACTTGGTGTGTCCCCAAACTACTCCGGTAACTTCAGAACATGTCAAAAGCTTGATATCGATAGATACACTGTAAAAACACACCAGTTTTGAGCATTATAATTTAAAATAATCGTGAGATAAAATGGGCGACCTTGGGAAAATGTAGAATATCTAGACTTGACATGAGACAAACAATAAAAAAAAGACTTAATTTCACAAACATATCTTAGGCTGTTACAGTTTGATTAGCCTGAAGTGTTTTCAGACCCTCTCCAATCAGCTTTCCTTCAACAGAATGGGCTACCACACAATCTCAGCCAAAAACAACTGAAAAGCAACCACAAGAAACCAACAAAAACAAACAAAACACAGTAAGACCTATACATTTTTGGTACTTGTCTAGTAACAGAAAGATACCATTTAGTTTGCTCAAATAGACCAGTTTGTGTGAAAACAATCATGTTTAAGGTATTAGGTTTATATGAAGAGGAACTAATGATTGGATTTTCCACGGTCTAGTGTTATTTTAGTATTATTAATATACTATTATATGTATAGGACGCTTCATTTGCTGAGCTATGTCTGTGAAATAGCGTGTTCTTATAATTAGAATGAGATTCTGATTAGAGACATATTTTCCAGTATTTTTCCCAGTGTTTTCTGTGCAGCTGTTCACAGAAACCGCCATTATTTCAATTAATTCCTCCATGATAGTCTATTATTACTGTATAATCTATTTTAGATAAACCCGCCCTAAACAGCATACAACTCAATGTGTCAAAGGTCTGGCTGGTGCGTGCGACTAGTACTCACCAGCTAATTCAAGCATAAAACATTTGAAGAACAAAACCGTGCCGTTAATTGCTACCGACTGGAGACAGGTTCAGGACAGACATGTATTAGTTCCGAGAGACTCAGTTTTGCAGGATCATCTCATTGATGTTCTCTTCCTCTAAAGACACCGAAACACCTCACATGCTTAATTACCACCGTCAATAAATCTCAATCGCACATATGGAGACACTCCCCGCACTATTGAACATCTGTCTATACAATCCCTGATGCTGACAAATTGCAGTACAGTTGCTATTCATAGGCTTTTCATCAACCTGCCGTTTTGCTTTGTGAAAAAAAACAACATGGAATCTGGAAACTGCTCAGCAGCAGACAGATGATTATGTCTGACAACAAAAACGCACAAAATCACACCAACTCACTAATGGCTAAAAAAACAAGGCTGTCGCTTAAAACCAGACCTCAAAGGATAAAATTTAAGGGCCAATGAGTAGGCACCTCCATCCCCTGCTAAAGAATTCATTACAAGCTGATTTCACTGAATGCTGACAAGCATCCCACCCTTTTATATGAAACAAATGTCCTTACCCTTTTTCCAATGGATTTTTATTGAAAAAAATATAATAACACAAGTATAAGCAGTTCCATGCGACTGTGGTAGATATCAGGAAGAAATTGCAATTTACCTTTTTTGATGCATTATGGATCTTTTTGGTAGCATTTAATTTTTTATTCATTTATTAACATTAGTGAATGCAATTGCAAATCAGAATTAACAATGAACCATAATTTTAAAGTAT